ACCAGATTAACATCCTCCTTCTGAATCTAAATTCCTCCATCTGTAAAAAGAAAACTATACCCACCTGCCTTATGGGATTATTTAGCGAACTGTGAATCCTTGCAAAATACTCAGCACACTTTTGGATCCCTTGCCCAGGAAATAATGGCGCTCAAGGGATTATGGTTTGGCTTGGATAAAGGGTAGAAACAAGCTACCCCCTTAGGAGGATATTATGAACTATAATTAGAACATTCAATCATGAATACTGAGGGTATTTAAAAAGGTACAAATATTAGGGAAGGAGAAAAGGATCTGATTGAGAGCGGTTGGTAGGATAAACCTTAACCTGGTGATTGATTGGATGTGGTGGTGATGAAGGCATCTAAAACTGTATCCAAATCTCTAGATAACAAGCAGATCGATGGTAACATCAGTAGAGAAAGTTTTATTTATGAGGTTTTTGTTTTTTTGGGTTTTTTGTTTTGTTTTGTTTTTTGTACTGGACATCAAACTTGGGACTTTGTGCTTGTGAGGCAGGTGGCAGAAACAATGAACTAAATCCCCAGCCCTCATCATGAAGTTTGAATTGCCCATGTGGTATTTAGACATACTGTAAATGTTCAATAATCAGAAGCCACTTGGGAAAACTCAAGAGTTGGGAACCAAACTTGATTCCAAAAGTTGGGGATATTTAGATGGACATAGTAAACTGTGGACGTATAGGAATCTCTACACCACTGTGGTGCCAAACCTATGGCATGTGTGCTTCAGCAGGCTGCTGTGTCATTGAAAGGTTCACCAAGGGAGGAGAGGGTGAAGGGAGGGCAGGGACAAGGGGAAAAAATGAGAACCAACACCTGTCATGTAGAGGTACAAGATCCCAATGATGAATGTAACTGTACTGTGCAGCTAAACTGTACCAATAAACTCAACGAGAGAGAGAAAAGAACAAGGTTCACCATCACTGCCATCTTCCACATCCTGGAAGATGGTATCTCAGGGTTTCCTTTATAATATACAAAATATATTATATATAAAATAGGTGTTCCCTTTTTTATACTGGGATTCAAACTTGGGACCTTGCACTTTCAAGGCAGGTGGTGGCACCACTGAGCTAAATTCCTAAATTATATATAAAATAGTGAATGAGGTGTATGCAAACACACATACTCCTAAAACAAGATAATTTATCCATTTTGTGAAAACCACTTTAAAGACAATAAAGCTCTTTAATGAATTGGAACACCTTTCTGGTGAAACTGTTTAGGAAAGACCAATAAATAAGGAAGATTGAAGGATACATTCACATTTCATTTGGGACTGGATCTAGCCTGTGGATTTCAAACAGCAGGTCAAAGTCTGACAGGTCACACTGCCTAATACACTAATATACAGGCTGCCTAGGAGACAGTCCCATGGAATGTTACTGCAAAGTGGGTCAGAAAGGATGCAAACTTAAAATGTTTGTAAAGCCATTATCTGGATTTGATGGCTATCATTATGACCCCCTTCCCCATATCAAATAGCATTATATTCATTACCAGGCTCTCCCTTTGTTCCCACAAACATGCTTGGAGAGCCTGGGCAAAGATCTCAGTCTTTGGAGCTAATACAATAGCTGTTCTCCATGTAGAAGGGTACCGCCTCTGCTCAGGATTTGGGGTTCCCGCTTTCAGCACTCTACCATAGGAAAAACAAGAAGAAAAGGCCAGAGTGGCCTCAAGATGCTCTTTGCATTTTGCAGCCACAGCATTTCTGTTTAGTGAGCGGAGCCTCAGACCATAGCAGAAGCTGATGGTGAGGTGAGGACGGGGCTCAGGGAGCTCCTACCCAAGGGCTGTCTTCAGATATGCTTCTTAGTGAGCAGTGGAGGACGGCAGAGGGCCTTGGGGTGAAGGGTACACCCTTCACTCCTCTCCAGCAGGGAAATCAGAGAAATAATAACAATTTAATTACAAAAAATAATACATACCACACATCTTAGTGAAGAACGTGGTTTTAAAGACTCCTATTCGGACAAAGTACCAAACATGGATAAACACTAAATTAGCATTAACTAATAGGGCACAATTTTTAGATACATTCTAAACACTAGGGATTTTTCTTTTTAAATTTTAAAAAAATTTAAAATTAATTCTATTGGTACATTTAAGGTATGCAATATAACGACATTCATCATTGGGAATTTGCACGTTTACATAATCCATCTCGGTTCTTATGTTTCCCCTTACCCCTGTCCTCCCTTTAACTCCTCTACTCCTCCCCATCTACAAAGACTTTGTTTCCATTTTTTCATTGTCTTATATTAATTCCATTGCCTTCTTTCCTTTCCCCTACCCCTCCCACTTCCCCTTTTCCCCTTTTCTTCCTATTTCACATTATCTATTATGCCTTTTAGTCCTATTTACACTTTCAGTTTCTCACACTAGAGAAACTATTCAGTATTTACATGTGTGTCCTACTTATTCCACTTAATAGTATCGCCTCAATGTGTATCCATTTAGCTGTAAATGTCTCTAGTTTCTTGTTATTTATGGCTGAGTAGTACTCCATTTTCTTTAAAAAAACTAAAAAACACATTTTCTTTATCTAGTTTCCTGTTGATGGGCAATTGGGCTTTTTCCAAGTTTTAGCTATTACAAACTGTTATTTTTATAAAGGTGCAAATTTCCAGTGATGAATGTCATTATATTGTAGACCTTAAATGTACCAATAAAATTCATTTAAAATTTTTCAAAAACAAAAAAGAAAAATCCCTAGTGTTTAAATATATCTATATATATTTATCCATTTTGTGAAAACCATTTTAAAGACAATAATCGCTCTTTAATGAATTGGAATGCCAGTCTCCTGTTGATGGACAATTGGGCTTTTTTTCAAGTTTTAGCTATTACAAACTGCTGCTATTTTAACAAAGAGTTAGTTCATATACTCAAGAAAATGGCCCTACACAAAATTAAAAACTCAGTTGAGCAATATTTCCACCAAAAAGGTGTATCTATGGCATTGTGTCAAAATATGAAAGCAACTGACTCATTCTGGTGATTTATGCCAAGAGACAAGCAGGGTATACATTTTTAAAAGCTGAAATAATGAAGATTTCTATATATTCGTGGTTTGGGTTCTTATAAAGTCCAAATTTCCTTGTATAAACCTGTAATCTTGCAACAATCAAAGATAAAAGGGAAAAGTTAAGTTAAATGAGAGAATGAAATGAAAACTTACTTATCAGAAGATTGTGAATGTTCAACCACTGGAACAGAATACAACCACTGTTCAAGAAGCATGAATAATAACTGCATAAAATACATCTATATGCAAGTTGCATTTTAGTTCAGTAACATAATGAAATGCAAGGGTTAAATTTCAACGTGTACAAGTCACAAAGTATGTCAAAAATTCATCTGATTGGATAGGGAAGATTCCACATGAATTTCCAGTGTTCACCTGGAATTCTCTTTTACAGAATATTATAGATGTAAGTATACACACACCTCTGTATATACACAGCATCTGGAATATGCATCACAATAACACCACAACCAAACTTTGGCGGACATGCATTCTCTACCATGGGAAAAGTAAATTATGCTTAAAGCTCAAGTTGCAGTGTTTGATGTAGAGATGTCAAATAAAAGCAATTTCAATTCCCTAAGTCAAACACACTTTTCAAGTCTTGTAACCCTTCTATATGATTTCCATTTGCTACTTGCAGAAAAAAATTAGAAACAACTGTCCCATACCTTGCCCACAATACTGAGGGGCAGAAAAAAGGAAAATCAGATAAAAATGGTTAAACATTTACTGATGGACTAAATGTGCTGGGATAATGATAAAGGTTCCATATGCTGTATGCAAATTGCCCCTTAGGTGAACATGGCTGACACTTCTCACACTGCCTCCCTGGGAAGCAGTTTCCTATTTCCTAGGGCTACTGGGAAGATGCAATAAGGTTCTCTATAAGAAAGAACTTTGTAAACTGCCTAACGGGTAACAGAAGTCAATGATAAGTGTTTCTGAAAGAAGATAAAGTGGTCTGGAAAGCAAATAAGATTTTTCTGCTGATTAATATGATACATGCACAAAAATAAAAGAATTAAATTCTATTGGTTTATTATTTTTACATTAATTTTCATTGTTTTTATAATGCTGTGACAAATGCAAGTAAAAGTCAGATTAGTGGGAGAAATGGGACAAAATAGAAAATGAGTCATGATTCTCTAAAATAAGAGCCTTACGACCATAAGGCTGCCTGCCGAACATGTTGTGTTTTTTCCTACCTATTAAAGAGTTTTTGTCCAAGAGGAAAAATGGCCTTTGGAATCAGAAAGACCTCCCACTTACCAGCCATACAGCTTCCAATAAGCTGGGTAATTGCAAATTTCTGATCTCTCCCTTTTCATGAGCAAGCTGCTGTGGGGACTGAATGTAAAACATCTCTGAATACATAGCAGGTGCTTGGCAAACAGGAGGTTCTTCCTTCCTTCTCATGGAGCTTTCCTCACCAGCCAGCAGATGAGAGGAAGAATGTACACAGCTCACCCATTCCTTCTCCAGTGTTTACTGGCTGGGAAGTTCATATGGTAGCTAATTATATTTGATTTTCTGATATATTACCTATTGTTACCAAAATCTTCAGTGACTGTATGACTTTTCTTGCATTTGTATCTATATACATAATCAGACGACACTGTTTCAGACCATGAACCTTTCCAGTGTCAACTCCCCAGGACCCCACAGGGAAGCCTGTGAATAGGTATGGAAATAATCTTCTACCAGAAGGTAGTGGGGAGCTGGAGTGCAGAGGGGTGAGGGCAACCTCACATCTCTGATAGTGCACAAGATTTGTAGCTGTCCTCCTAGGAGCCTCTTAGCTTGTGTCCTGGGGAAATTCTACCACTACAGGAGACACACATGCACACATTTTACACGTCATCGGGTTCCAGTTGGTGGGGACAGATTACAGCTGCAGGGGAGGAGATGTAGAGGGTACAGAAGCAGAATACAAGCTCACATACCTGGATGAGATAGTGGGAACATAAATTGAGAAGCTCCAACAGCTGTAGGTGACTGCCAGCTGCCAAAACATCCTGGATCACGCCTGGCTCCAACAAAATCTGTTATATTTTTACAAAAAGAAAACCATGAGCTACATTAAAAAATTAATACAGTACTGCTTAAAGCATAAATGTAACCATACTCTGTTCAGAAAGCAAGATACCTATGTACTTAATTGACGCTGTTCTTAATCATGGAAGTCAGTTCTTTCTTTTTCAGATGAGTAGGTCATGGCTTTCATGCTAACAGCTGAGTTCTCTCCTAGCACAAGGGACAATTCTCATTTCTTTTCTTTTTTTTTTTTTTTTTAGGTACTGGGGATTGAACTTGGGTCCTTGCAAGGAGCCTGCTTGCAAGACAGGCCACCAAACCGCTGAGCTAAATCCCTGGCCCAATAATTCTCATTTCTTGAGTGTGAAACTCTGTACTTGGCCACTTAGTTTTTGCAGAAGAATTGGAACATTTTAAAACAACAACATACCCCTCGTAAAATTCAGTTTGTAATAGACCTTGCAAAATACAGATGAACTAAGTTTTAGTTTTTCAAGCAGTATTTCAGAATTTTACTTTCTAGTAAATTATAGAATCAGGACAGTTAACAGGTACTTTAGGGAAAGGAGTTATATTTCTCCTAGTCATGTCGTAAAGAAGGGTGATATGAGAGGCACTGCTGTCATGGATTCACTCTATTACATGTCTTCTTCCTCAAGCCCCCAACTCTTCTGCCTCCCCATTTTCACCACAAACCTATCATCACCCAAGCCGTATCTGTATCAGCACGTTTTGCTTTCCCAATATTCCACATGTGCACTTGATCCCAACCCCTTCTGCCTGCAACCTCATCTCTTCCCCATTATATATTCTCTTTCTACTGCTTAATATTTCCCATCAGCATAACTGTATGCTATTACGGCTCTTAGCTTGAGAAAGAGAAATGCCCTCCTTTGATCCCACAGCTTCCTCCAGGCCAGTCGAGGGAATGTATGGCACACGCGCTGCAGCAGGCTTTTCATCACTGAGAGCTCTACAAAGTTTGCCAGCACTGCTCTAGGCCCTCGACATTCCTTCCTCTTCATTCATTACAGAAGTTCCCTGGAAGTTGTCTATACAGTCAATATACTAATGCTGCATTCTCAGCTCTGCTTTCTCTTGCACCCATTCCTTTGATGTTTTCCTTCCACTGTTCCACTAAAACTGTGCTCATTAAGGCTGCCAGCGACATTTCTGCGTTCAAACCCACTGGTCATTTATCAGTGTTAGTTTTACTCTAGCCAGAAGCAGTTAGCAAAGGAGGTTGTGTTCCCTTTTAGACTGATTCCTTCTCTTGCTTTAGGACAACATTCCCTCCTGGCTTTCTTCCTCTTCTCTAGCCACTGTTCTCCACCTCTGCTTTGGAGATGACTTGAGCTCAGTTTTCAGATCTTTCTTCTCTCCACTCACTCCTAGATAGTTCCACACAATCTCATGGCTTCAACATCATCTATACACAGATGACAGTGGGATCTGATGCTCCTACCCCAACCTCATCCCTTCGATTTCAGACTCCCATGTGTAAGTGCCTCCTTGGCATGACTGCTTGGATGACTACAGGCAGCTTAAGCTGAGCATGCCCCACATTAAACTCCCAATCCTTTCCACAACCCACTAAACTTGATCCTGGCCCAACCCTGCCATCTCAGCAAACAGCAACTACCAGTTATTTAGGCCAGAACCTTGGAGTCATTCTTGATTCTTCTCATCTTCCTCGTATTTCACATCACTCCTGTCGACTGTATCTTCAAAGAATCCAGTCACGGCTCACGACTTCCATGATTATCACCGGTCCAATCCATTCCATTTGCACATGGAATGAAAAAGTTAAGCACAGGTGGCAAAAATACTAACACTCATCTTATTCTCAAACTGTAGAAGCCTCCTAATTCCTATAGTGCCACGATCTCCTTTTCCCCTTTGTGGGACCTTTTAAAAATACTACTACTAATCAAACCGGCTTTTTCTACCTGGATCACTCTTCTTCAAACTGTCAGATGGTTCCCTCCCTCACATCCTCAGAATTCGGTACAGACACAAACTTATCTCAGAGGACTTTACTGACCATCCTATGGGGACCTCACTCCCTAACATCTACTGTTCTTCATCTCCTAACGGCTTCACGGCACTTAACTTCCCTTGGCATGTTACACATTTTCCTCCCATTTCTCTGCTCGCTAGGATATGAGCTCCAGGAGAGCAGTGATGTGGTCTTATTTTGAATCCTCGGCACTTAAAAACAAATGCCTGGCACACAGCTATAATTCAGCATCGATGGGTTTAGTCAAAAGTTCTGATAATTATCTAATCTCTGCACAAATGCTTAATTCAGAATGAATTTTATTAATCTAACAAATGGGAAAGGAAAAAAGAACTACAAATTCAATTAAAGAAATGAAAAAGTTAAGCACAGATGGCAAAAATACTAACACTCATCTTATTCTCAAAATTCTTTATAGCTCTTTTCCGTCTAGTCAGAAGGAGAAGCTTGCATTTCTCCAGCTCCTCAAGGAGGGAGGCTTTGACTGACATTCAGGAAATGAATGCAGCTCCCATCAGAGGAGCAAGGATGTCGTTTAGTCTTGCAGAAAAGGCATGGCCTAAGGCGGAGAATAGGGAATAGACAGATTAAAAAGGTTAGTCTGAGCCTTTAAATCCTGTCAGTTGTGCTCATTTCACACAACTGGCATTCATGATAACCTCTAAGGCTTGGTAATGCCAAACACAAAGACAGATAGCACAGAGACAAGATGAATATTCCTTAGTGTGTGTAACACATCCAATAGGCTCACTGCAAGAAATTTTCACACAGGAACCCCATATTGGGATTGTTTTTGTCTTTCTTATTTTTGCTCTATAGTTTCTTTCTCTCCTCATTATAAGCTTTTTTTTTTTCTTTCCAAAAAACACACTTTAGCACAGAAAACCCCTAAGTACTTTCAAAGGTTTGGAGAAAGAAACTCAGCCAGAACAGCTGGTTCTCATGAAAACAGAATCAGCATTTGCAAACCCCACTTGTAGTAATATTTTAAATTCAGCTCTTTTGCTCTTTGGTGACTAGTTTTTCTAATGTATAGTCTCAGAGAATCTACACTAAGGTAGGAATAAAGACAAAGGTTCAATCTCCCCAAGATTTAGTTGGTCAACTGAGGTCCACTTGCAGGAAGGGAGGGATATCCCCTGAAAGCAGACAGCACAGTGTTGAAGTGGGAGCTAATGTAAGTGCTTAACATATCCAATCACTCATCAATCTGGAAGAGCTTGCTTCAGAGGCACAGATAGTGGTCAAGACAAAGATCAAGAAAATGCAAGATGCATAAGACCAGTGTTAAAGAGTAGAATCCAGTGTTAAAGGTAAAAGCCTTAGAAAAGTCAAAGTTGGCTGAGCATTTCTCATTTTTCAATGAAGCTCACCTGGTTGGAGGAAGGCAGAAATGGGATCTCTAGATTTGCAAACAAGTTTTAATGCAATAAGGAGTAAGCTTAGGTGAAGGAATGAATATCTGTCATCTACAGGGCCATTTATATAAAGTATTTTCTGCCCATAATCCATCCGCACCTGACCTCCAGGTGGCAGAGCACAGGGTGTGTGCTTGAAAGAGGACATTTGCTATTGGGAAAGTGACAATCTCATTATTAGGTCAGGCCCAATAACCCTTCTGGCACCCTTGGTAGGTAAGGTCACATGAACTGAGAAGAGGTCCTCAGCTGACCCCCACCCCAAATGTGCTCATTTTGGTCAAATGGGGATAGAACTGGCTGAGGACAGTGGTGATGGGGATTCTAGGTGACACGACAAAGTAATAGGGATCATAACCACAAGTGCAACAGAAGGCGCAATTCAGTCTGCTGATGATGTGCTCCAACTATAGGAAGCACTCCTGAATACTCAATCAAACACGTCCCCTGGTCACCGATTTAAGCAGAGTTGGTGGTAGACAGCGGAATTTGCAGTCCCTAATGAAAACCCTTTACATTGGAAAAACACTGGATCTTGGTCTCCACTATATCTCTAGGCACTATACGGGGCCAGAAACTTCTGAGAGAAGGGTGTGAGACCCGAGGTGAGATTCTGCACAGAGCATGACGTGAGCCCTATGGGTCAGGCTCTGGGAGGGTGGACCTGTGTGTGACAGGGAGGAGCACAGGCCACAGACAGACCCACGGCATCCATGCACTCCCTCCCTTCTTCAGCTCATCGTCCCACTCACCAGGTGTCCACTCCCTGCTGCTAAGTTGGCTGCGCATGGTGTGGTGCCTTTAATAGCCACGACAAGTCTCATTTGTGACCTTTTATTCTGCCTGTGAAAGAGTTGGTATCTTCAGAAAATTGCGTACCTTCAAAGCTGTCTTCCCATTGCTTGCTTTTGGAAACTTGATTTATTTGGGGTTGGAGTAGGTTGAAAGATTCGAACACATTAACACAGTTCCTGCCAATTTGAACCACCAGAGATACATACATGACTGTCCCATTGAGGGGCTTGAACCACTGGTGGTGCAAAAGGATTCAATCACTTTTATCAGTCTTTTTACTAATAAAATGAACAAAAAGCCACCCGAGGGGACAGTCATGCTTGTAGCACCAGTGGTTCAAGCTGCCTGGCAGTGAGATATATCAACTACAGCACTGTTGTGAATGTGTTAAGGCCAGACAACTAAGTACACTTTACTAAATACATGTATACATGCGTACACATGAACACAATCATGTGTGTAAGCACAAGCTCTCATGCAAATCAACATTCGGTTAGAAGTAACAGTAAGCACATTCTCCATTTTTATACTGTAATTATTTCTTTGGGATTCTTTTTTTAATGCATTATAACAAAATGGCAAATTATCAATTATCACAATTTTGAACTTATAAGTCAAGAAATAAACTGAATTTTTAAAAGTATAAATAACTTTTAAATAAAAAGATATTCAAAGGGGGAGAAAGCACAGCAGGGAAAGGGCTGCAACCAGAATCTTAGCGAGCCCCAGGGGATGCTGCATTGCCAGCCCCCAGCAGTGGTAGCTGTAAGGCATTGCTAATCTAGCATAGCAAGAACCTGGAACTCTGAGAAGGCTTTCAGGGTCTGGTACAGTGCTACCATGAACATGGTGGCCATGTGAAGGTGAAAATAGCAAGCCGGTGATACGCAATGCTGGCTCTGAACTTGATGTCTGTTTCACCTCAGTATAGAAAAGAGCAACCCAGAGCCATGTTGTTGTGGTGGTGCATGACTATAATCGCAGCATTTGGGAGGCAGAGGCAGGAGGATCGCCATGAGTTTGCGACCAGCCTAGGATACACAGTGAGTTGAAGGCCAGTCTGAACTACATAGCAAGACTCTGTCTCAAGCAAACAAACAAACAAACAAAAAATCAGCCCAGACCCTCTGGACAGTGCTAGATCCTACTGATCACATACAGTTGCCAGTGGTGAGGACTTGGGGCCTTGGTGAGTGACATTACGGGGATCTGTTTGGCCTCAGTAAAGAACAAACTGCTGCCAAGCACAAGGGGACAGGCACATGCAATCTGGAGGTGCTCCTGTGACATTCCACCACTTCAGTGCAATCCAATCATCCCTTTACAGCAAGACCACCTGCTTTCTGTGAGAGTGCAGGATACTATTGCCAGACCTCTGTCCTTTTGGAGTGAGTAACTTGTTTCCCAGATCAAGGAGGGCAAACAAGTCCTGACTGCAGCCCACACAGTCAAGCACCTGAGGTCTCTCTGAAAAAGCCACCATGGAGCTGCACCTGCCAACTGGTATCTATTGTCTAGGAGTTAGACAAGGACTTAAAGCCCATCAAGTCCCATGAAGTTCCGTGGGGTGAAGAGACCATGATTAAAGCCATAGATGCTGTAGCTGCCCAAGAAGGGAAAGTAAACAGGCAGACTAAGACCCCACAGAACACCCTTTTCCTCCTTCCACTCCTCTGCCCTTCTTATGCCACCAGACTGATCACATCTACAGCCATCTTACATTGCAGCTGTACAGGGGAACCAGCTGCTCTTATTTGCATTGTAACACTTTGTTTCCTGTGCCCACTCCCTTCACAGGATCTGGCCAGACTAGCACTTCAGGGGCACACATTTTCAGACCAAACCCAGGATGGCTCTTTTCATCCAGAAGAGTCAGGAGGTCATAATTCCAGTTTTTCCTAGTGTTTCTGCTTCCTTTACTGAGGAGCCGACTGAGCGGGGAACAGGGAGGAACCATGCCTAGGCATGGCCCATAAAAAGAAGCCAAGGAGCCTGTTGTCTTCCTAAGAGGCAGCCCCTCACTCTTCTGTAGTCAGGTCACTGGCTGGAGGCCCTGGTCATTCGAGTGGAAGATGAATGTAATCTGCAATAACTATTTTCTCCTTGTCTCCAAAGGAGCTGGCTTCAGAAGGTAGGGGTTAAGCCTGAATTAAGTTTATGTGTTACATTTATTTTTACAAGAAAATTGTGTGTGTATTACTAAAATAAAAATCCTTCTTGGGCCAGGCATGTCACAAGCACAAGATCCTGAGTTCTATCCCTGGTAAAAAAAAAAAAAAAAATCCTTCTGGGGTTTAATGTGTGGTCACCAGAAAATAAGCTATTTTTCACACCAATATGAGATAACATTATTGGCCTCTGTGGGGCAGGAGTGTGAGTTCTACTGTGTATCTTAGAATGTGTTTGCTTTGTTTGTGGCAGGGAAATGCTTCCTGATCATGTCCAAGTGTGTCTTTCACTGCGCCTGATTTCTGAAACATGCTCCAGGTGCTTGGCCTTGCCACATGGGCCCAGTACTCATTCTGAGCATAGCTGCACTAAATCTTTCTTCCAGATCAGTAAAATAAAGGAGTGATATACAAAAAATATATTAAAGACACATAGAACCTTTCACATTAAGTTTTTCTATAAAAGAGAATAGATGGAACATGAAACATAGATGCAATGTGAAACATAAAATCTAGAAAGAGCCCTTGGTCTAGCTTTTAGTTCAAAACCATAAGGACTATTTATCCACACGGTGGCACATGTGTTTAAAGCAAAGGATTTTCTGGGGGAGGAGGGGGTGAAGGGAGGGCAGGGACAAGGGGAAAAAATGAGAACCAAGACCTGTCATGTAAAGATACAAGATCCCAATAATAAATGCAACTGTACTGTACACCTAAAATGTACCAATAAACTCAATGAGGGAAGGAAAAGGATTTTCTAAATTATTCACATACTGCACCTCTACAACTGACACCTTAAGTTTATTTTTAAGAAAAAAAAATCAGGCAAGTAAAGATAAAAACAATGATTGCGTACTTTGTAAGTTTCTCTATTATATTGTGAAATGTACATAATAAATATTTCTGTCCAAGTATTTTACTTGAGCAATACTGATTATAAGTCTGTTCTCCAAAAAATCAGGTGCTTCAA